GTGATGTGCCTTCTAGAAGTCCAGTGGTTATCCTCCCCTTCGCAGAGCCCCTCTCTTGAAGAGCAGAGTCCTGTGGATGCAGAGCTTTATATGAGAAAAGTCAGTAGGATGGGCCCTAATCCAGTATGAGTGGTATTCTTTTAAGAAGAGATTACAACACTGACACACATAGAGGGAAGACCATGGGAAGACACAAGAAGGCGATGGCCATCTACAAACCAAGAGAGGCCTCAGGAGAATCCAACCCTGCTGACACCTTGATCTCAGTATTTATACCATCTAGTCTAGGGAGCTTTATTATGGCAGCCCAAGAAGACTGATCCAAGGGTCTTGGCCCAGCAATGAAGTCAATTCTCCTGCTCTCCATCACAGCATAATCTGAAGACCCTGGACTATCTGATCATTCTGTAGAACACTGCATTGGTCCACTATGTTGATGACATCATGTTCATGAGAATTGAACAACACAAAGTGGCAAGTAGCCCAGATGACCTGCTAAGACACATGTGCTCCAGAAGGTGGTAGACAAACCCTATGAAGACTCAGGGATCTGGCACACAGGGAAGATTTTAGGGGTCCTGTGCAGATGGACAGGGAAAAGTAGACTCCCCGCTGAGCAGGGAGCCTGACTCAGGCATAGATCCCAGGACCCTGGGACCATGACCTGAGGCAAAGGCAGGCACTTAACTGACTAAGCCACCCAGGCGCCCCTCCCTCACAAATTCTTACATTGAAATCCTCTCAATGGGACAGTATTAGGAGGTGGGCCTTTTGGAGGTGATCAGGTCATCAGGGCGCATCCCTCATAAATGAGATTAGTGCCCTTGTAAGAGACCCCAGAGAATCCCCTCTCCTTTTCCTTCACATGAGGACACAGTCAGAAGATGGATGTCTGTGAACTAGGAGGTGGATCCTCACCAGACAATGAATCTACCAGTGCCTTGATCCTGCACTTCCCAGCCTCCAGAACCATGAGAAGTAAATGCCTGTTGAGGCGCCTGGGTGGCTCAGTCAGTTAAGCATCAGACTCTTGGTTTTGGCTCAGGTTGTGATCTCAGGTCATGAAATCGAGCCCCGCATTGGGCTCTGGCTTAGTTGAGAGTCTACTTAAGATTCTGTCTCTCCGATGGACTCTGAAGAACAAACTGAGGGTTCTAGAGGGGAGGGGGGTGGG